TGAGCGCCAGGTGGGAACTCTGGGGAAGGACCGGCGGAAGAACCAGAGAAGCTGCGCACAGCGCATGCCCTGCAGGGCTGGTTCCCCCGGAGCATCTCTAGAGGGCTGCCCATGCACCTGCCTGAAACCCCAGACAGCCAGTGCTCTCCCGGTGGGCACCACTGAGCTCAAGAGAGCGATGGTTCGAGTCGGTATGGCAGGGCTGTCCCCGAATTCAGGCCGGGGTCTCTGGCTCCTGCAAAAGGAGGGCTGGCTTGGCCTGGGTGAACTCCAGGTACCTGGCCTGTTTTAATTCAGCGGTAGCACCTCTGTTCTCTATTCCTGGATCCTGAGTGCTTTCATAACAGGGAGGTGCCCTCTTGGCTTGGTAGATGGACAAAGGACAACCGTGCCACTACATTCTCCTCCTTGAGCTGACTCCATATTGGCCCTGCTACCATCTCCCTCCCTCCCTCCCTCCCTCCCTCCCTCCCTTCTCAGTCGGTCTGTCTGTCTGTCTTTTTCTGCCTGCCTGCCTGCCTGCCTATCACCTTTATATACCACCCCTTACCAAAGTCTCGGGGAAGGTTTAACAATACAACAATGTAAAATAAAACTACTATTTTTATTACCCTCCTGCCCTCATGGAAGAGGCAGTGGATGAGCTTATGTGCTGTTGGTCAGCTGACTGAGGCTACGCCCCACGGTCTCGGCACCCGCAGCAGAGACGGGGCTCAGGCAAGGGGCCTCGGAGGCCAGAAAGGGACCCCCCTCACCTACTGTGCCTCCCTCCTGGCCTTCTGCCCCTCGCGGCTTGTGTCAGCATCCCGTGTTCCTGCTGCCCGTCCCTCACGGTACTCGAATCTCCTCAATATACTTGTCCTATGCTGTGCTTTGTTGTACACGCGTAATCCACACCAGCAGGCCGTTTCCCGGGTGCTCTTGTTTGGACCAGCACTGAGGGGGCTCCACAGACCATCCATTCCAGCTGGGGAGAGCCAACCTTGCAGGGGTTGCTGTGTAAGGTTGCGAGCTTGTCCCCGGGGTCAGACTAGATGGCCCGGGAAACCCTTCTGACTCGCTCTGTTTCTGTGTTTCTAAAAGCAAAGGAAGGGGAGCATTGCATGGGAAAGTTTTAAGACTTCCCTCTTCTCCTAGATTTCCCCAGAGTGCATTTATAACATCACCGATTTCCCTTTTGCTGAGCTTTACCCGCCAATCTTGCCCCTGTTTCTCCTTTCCTGCACAAATTGTGACGTGCTTCCTGTTGGGTCCCTCCGCCAGGTCCGCAGCCAGATATTCACTAGCCAGGGCTTGGGCTTGGTCCCAGAACGCTCTGGAGACACTGAGACGGGCCAGAGGACAGAGGCGGGCAACCAACCTCACACCTGGCACACAAGCCGAAGTGGAAAGAGCTGCAGAGCATCGACTGTAATGCTGGACTAGAATGTGTCGGCATGTACCATCAGCCGATCCAACTGATTGGGTTGGCCTGCAACTCCCATCAGTCCTAGTTAGTGACATGGGTGATGGCCACTGTGAGCCAAAATATCTGCAGCAGCACACCTAGATAAACCAGCAGTAGATAAACCTTCTGTGAGCATAACGTCGGATTTTCTGACTATTTCTATTCTGCATGATGTTTGGAACAGCTTAAAGCGAGCATTCTTTCTAGCCTTCATTCGCATGATGTTAAGACAAGATATTGCCACACAGGGTCAGGGGTTCCATAGAGCTACTGATTACTGAATTTACACAGGCGTCCTGACGTATCACTGTGAATTGTTTTCTTCACCCAAAGCCTTTGATTTTATTTTTTCAGACTTTTCCATTAAAGTTTAGACCTCAGGAAACACAAAGAAGATCCTTTCAGTTTCAGTTAGCCGGTTATTAAAACAAGCCAGGCTACGAAGCATAATTTAAAGAGCCAACCAAACAAATAAGCTTCAGATGCAGAAGTAAGATAGGTCTTTACCCAAAGAAGAGGAAAAAGAGGAGAGGAGCAAAACACACAGCTGCTCCTCCATTTAAAAGACCTTGAGAAATCCTTCTTGGCAGATGGCATATTTAAATCAAGTATGAATGTGAGAAAGGGAAATTGGGACCGATTGCTCACTTTGAATTCCAGGATGGACATACATGCAAGCCACACAAAACATGTACACTGTTGCCCACTGATTAATAACGAGCCCATTAAAGTGAGCCTTAATTGGCACAAAAAACAGAAACAAGGAAACTTCTTCCATGAAAGGAAGAATGTCAGACTGCTCACAAGACAGCGTCCGAGACGAATACAAATACCATCACGTCAAGCAACAGTGAACCTCTGACAGAGATGAATGGGATTAAACTAAGTGGTAAGTCAGAACTTGAAGGCAGCAGATGAGAGGTGGGGGGGAGGAAGCAAGAAGAAAGGAAGGCTCCTGAAATCCAGAACAATTGCAATTCGGTTCTTTGATGGCCATGTTTCTACCAATTATATACCCCTGACGACTGCATGCAACACCAACTCTTACAAGACGAATCAGAATGCATTCCCGAGTTGCCCCCTGCTTTCTAAATCAAGCAGACTTGACTGAATACGATGAATTTCTGAATTGCCAGAAGACAGCGAAAGGTCTGCTCCTCTGGCAGGGACAATGCTCCTTGTCTTAGGGACCTTTTCCAGATCCAAGGGTCTCCTCCAAGGTTACACTTCTCCATTTCCAACAGTTTCTTGGCCAAGTCACACTCATACATTCCGCCATATACACACGCACGAGGAGAGAACGAACGGTTGGCTTGTGCTGCTATCTGAACGGTGGACCTTGTGCTGGGACCTTTTGAGAGGCTACTTGGAAACGAGAGCTGTGAATCTGGGCATCATGCCTGCATTGACAGCTACGTGATGGACCTCAGAGGGCATGGCCAACGCACACCCTCCAAACAGGTGCTGAAACGGCGGTTCTCTGGGTGTCTATTCCATGTGCTCCCCAGGGCGCAAGCGCTGGCTGAAGAACAGCAAATGGAACCAGAGCCAATCTTCCCTCGCAGCTTCACTGCCATGCATTTGTGGCAAATTCTGCCCTGGCAGTTCCTGTCTGTGCAGTCCATCAGTAGGGCTGGGACAACCCCTTTTGGGATCTGTCCGTCTGGCTCCTACAGGCTTCCTCTCAGGCTCAGCCCAGTCGTGCAAAGTGAGCCAAGTCACGAGGGACCCCACAAATGCTCACGTGCTCACATGGTGCGTAAGCAGCCACTTTCCCTATCAGGAGAAGCGGCAGGATGCGGAAAAGAAGAGCTGCAAGCGGGTTGGTCGTGCACCCTTGTGGGACACCAACCTTCTGGCAGCAGTGGGGGCTGCAGGGAAAATGGGTCCAGCTTGCACAGCAGGTGGGACCAGATTCCTGCGGAGCATCCTATGCATTTACTCATTCATAGCATTTATATACCTCTCCACAGACCAGAAGGCTCTCCGGGGGTTTAAACATTAAGTGCACAGTTTATCCAGCAAGATCAGCAGTGAATTCATAAAACTAGCAATAAAAGCTGTCATAATTGGCCTGAGCTCCACCAAAGGTCCTGGTGCCCAAACCTGTGTTGAACCAGCACTGAATGGGCACCAAATGGCCAGTGCCCTTTGGCACCACCCATGGAAGAAAATGGCCCCTGGGGAAAGCCTTGCCCCAACTGCCAGGTGGGCCCAGCTTGGTTCTCCTTGCCTGCAGCTTCTGGAATACGTGGAGTTGACTGCCAAGTCTCTGTCCTGGATTGCCCGATCCTTGCTAAGCTTGCCTCACCTGCCCACCAGGGATGCTCAGGGGCGTCCAGAGCGTTTGCAGACCCCAGCGTGGTTCCCGTCTGTCCAGCCCACACAAACACACTGGCAAACTAAGTGGGCTCCGTAGCTGCTACAGAGCATTAACTGCCCAGAGAGCACGGGGAGGTACAGAAATGAAATAGCCAAGTCCTGAAACAGTAAGGGGGTCACAATTCCCCTGACTGCAGCTGGCTATTTATTTATTTCAAATTCTTCTATACCACTGCTGTATTCCAAGGAACCTCATTTACATACGGTTTACATTACGTCATTGTCTTCCCCCTACTGCTTTATGGCACCCATGAGGGAACACAAGGGGAGCAAAAATGGTCCCTAGACTTCCCGAAGTTGCCCACATTTGACGATGTCCATGCAGGACCACTCAGGTGGTGAAAACATGTCTCTTCTCCACCCATTTTAATAATGGATTTTAGATGTTTATTAATTTTATTGTAATTTGGTAAATGCGGTTAGCTGTCTCACTTGGTCATGTTTTTTGAACTGATCTTGGCTATATTATTATTATTAAACCTTTATTTATATTTTAAAGATGATTTTAACTGTCCTTTTGTAATTTTACTGCAGCATGATGCTAAAGAGTCTATGTGAATTACTTGGCAGCTTATAAATATAAATAAATATAAATTCAACAGCACCGTCAGCCAGCACGTATGGCTTCTGTATCCACACATGTGATGCAGCACAAGAGAATGGCAAAATTCTGCATTTTGACCGAATTTCCCACGCAACGGTACAGGCCTTGAGCATCTCAGTCCTAGTGCTGATGGGTCAGTTGGCTGGCAACAACTGTTCCACAAGGACAGACTAAGTGTTCTTAGTATGACCGCACTGGAGGGGGAAAAAGGGCCTTGGAGAATTATGTGCTTCCCGAAGGAGTAATATGAAAGATCCACTGGCCCTCCAACTGGCTGGAGAAGATCAAGGACCTAGTCCACCACATCTGGGGACACTAGGTTACAAAAGGGACCAAGAATGGGCCACTGGCTTTCCAAGCTGCCCTTAAGAAAGACACAGAGTTTAACATGAGTTAGCTGCTGCCCTGACCAGCAAATGTGAGCCAGGTTTTGCCACACATTGACTAAAAGTGGGTCGCCCAACCTGAAAGATCTATTTGAGAACTGCTGCATTTGGTAATCTCATGACTGGCAATCCCGAACTTGAACATTTTTCTTGAATGTACAACAGAAGAAATGGTTCTTACCTTTTTTACGGTCTTGTCTGGTTCAAGAGCAATGTCTGGAATATTGGCATCCACCATGAGGGAGAACAAGTTCAAAATCAAGTTGGAATACCTGTGGCAAAGACAGCGGATGTAAAATTAAAATGCTAAGAACTGGCGGACAGACTTGGATGCTTTTTTGAAGGCGACTGGGCAGGGATAGAGCATGGGAAATACAAGACCATTCCAAAAGCCACATTCATCACTCCCCCAACAAAGCTTCAGCAAGTGACCATTTTCACAGAAAAATGCCCAGCCCTAATACTGCCAACAGCAACATGGGCCTGTAGAAACTCTTTCCTACATGAGGCTGGGAGCTGCAGATTTTCACAACTGATTTTGGAACGGCTTAGGAGCATAGGAACAGCCCTGCTGGATCAGACCCGAGGTCCATCCAGTCCAGCTCTCTGTACACATGGTGGCAAACCAGCTGCCCACAGCATCTCTGCGGCTGGAGGGCTGCAAGACCTCCCCCTGCCCAAGCTCCTCAGTAATTGGTCTATGCAGGCAGGCCACCTCTGGGGAAGGAGGCACAACCTAAGCACATCCAACCCTTCCAAGGAGAGGACTCTGAACCAACCCCCCTGGTGACTCAGAAGGGCTCAACAGAACATCTCACCTGTGTGAACTGAGGGTTGCAGTGAGTAGAACCGGATGTCTCCAGTTCATCAGATCTGACCCACTTCAGAATATGGCAGCCGTTCAAAATTGGCTGCTTATCAGGACTCTAAAAATGAAGCTGTCCAAGAGTACCAGGAAGAAAGTACAACTCTTTCCAAAATGTAACTTCAAAAATCCAAAAGCCATTCATAAGAGTTAAGAGAGGAGTGACTTGACAGCTGTCTCAAGCTTTCCAATTTCATTAGATGCACCAGAAACAGTTGTCAATCTTCAAGAACCATGTTTGTTCTTGTACTTTAAAAAAAGGTCCTCAAGCAAAGCAAGTTTCCTGTTTCAATGATTGGGAACGTTACAGCTTTCTAGATTATTTTTAGCTTGTAATGCCCAATATCTCTCAATATTGGCTAGTTTGATGAGAGTTGGATGTCTCCCAGTTGCTTGTGCACTAGATAAATCCCCAAATCTGTTTGCAATACCTTGTGAAGCTACTTCTACTGAGCATGGCGGATTAAAATTGCCATTTCAGGCGTGGAGGGGGAAGGCCATTATGAACAGTGAATATGAAACAGTAAGAACAGGGAAAAAATCAAAATAAAATATCAAGTTACACCTTCTCCATATGGAGAGTTTTATATTCAGCCCAGAGAAGAGTTGCCAATTAGAGAGATGCAAGCTGGAAAGTTTGTGATAAATGCTGTACGGAAAATACACAAGGATGTAATGTTGCGCACTATCTGCATACAACAATCAACATTTGACACCATCTACCTCCTACCTGGGCCAACACCGCCATCCCTTTTGCACCAAGTTAAGCATTTACTCCCGGGCATTTGGCGGCCTAAATGCAGCTTAAGTTGGGATATAATCTGATAAACGGCACCCTTGCGGCTTGGGCACCTCTGAGGTTGGAGATGCCCCGATTCCTACATCCTGCTGAGCTGAAGACAGCAGAGTTGAAGAGGAGGCAGGGGTGATCTTTGCCCCCCTTTTCACATTGGCTGTGAGAAGTTGGGGAGCAGAGGGGTGGTCGGATCTCGGATCAGCCCCCTCCAAGGCCAGAGTGCAATTCTGCACCTTAGAATGGGTTTTACCAAGCAAGCTTAAGGTCCTTAGCTGCTGGAAGCTGATCTTCCTCCTTTGTGTATTCAAAAGACACAGACCTTTTCCATGCAGAGCATTCTGTATTGACCAAAAGCACCAAGAATGAATCTCTGAGCATACACAGAGCGGTTTGTTGAACCCAATCTAGCATTCACCTCCAGGAACGCTCGTTATGAGCATGCTCAGGCCCCATCCGTTCAGGAAGGGCCTTCTGAAAACGAGCATGTCTCCTTTCTGCAAGATGATCCTCTATTTGGAGCACCTTCCTCTGCTGGCGATGCATCACCTGACTCAGGCCACCTCGCCTGAGTCTGAGAACTCCCTGTTCCAAGTCCTCTCCTGCCAACCATCCGCCTTGGTCATTCCCCGGGACTGCCCACCCATCTGGGGAATTTGGCCTTGAGATACGCGTCTCCACTTCTCCCATCTCCGTGTCTGGGGATGGCCCACATTCCTAGGTCCTCTCCTGCACCTCTCACCTTTCTTCCTCCGATTCTGATTCTTCTGGAGCCCAGCCAGCAGCCCTTGAGAATATGTGCCCATAGCAGTCCTCTTTCTCACTCCCAATACCAGGAAACTCCACCAGGGCCAAAGCATTGCTCTCTTAGTGTTTTACTGCGTGTTGGCATTTCGTTATTAATTGTTTGAAGCCCTTTTCAATGTTTGCACATTAAAGATTTTATATTATGTATTTCTCATGTTGCATTTTGCAGTTTAAGTTTTGAGAACTGCACTGAGAGATCTGGTTACTGGGCAGTACAGAAATGAAATGAATGAGATGGAATTAAATTAGTACAACTGGAATGTTCCATCTCCATCACCAGACTTGCGCTGATTGTTCTTAAGTTTTCAAGTGTCCATTCATACATCAGATTTTTTAAAAAACAGTCCTTACTACAGCAGCAACCAAATTATGTTCAGAAGCATTTATCTTTTTCTTTTTTTGCAAAGCTACTTCACATGACACAAAGCCTTAACAACTGAGACTCTCCCCAGTCCACTTAGCATGGCCAACGCTGCACCGAAATGCAATTAATTAGCTACTGAAGACCAAAGAGCATAACTATTAAACACTGACAGTTTCCTGTGACAGGTGGAATATTTATACACACACACACAGGCAGAAGATAAAAAAGACAAGAAAAAAGGCAGAAGAGTTCTTTAACAAATTCTTCCCTTTTCCTGTTCGGAGAAATCACCCCCCACTCCCTGCTTTCATGTCTTGCTAATCTATTTAAATAATGGAGACACTCCCACAATGCTGGCTGGATTTCAGATTAGATGTCTGTTTGCTTGTTTTTTCCATCTTGAATCTTGTTAGATGCTTTATAAACTGAACATCCAGAAAAAATGGGATGGGGGTCTAGTCCCTTCTCTCTTGTCCCCCCTTAACTGAGCTTCTTCCATTTGGACACACACTCCTACACACATTTAAATAAATTCAGTGGGCATACACTCCGGGTCTATTTCTTTCCAACTATTAGCTTGTGCATTTTATTCCACATCCATCAGAAAGATTCAATCAAGATGTCTAGCCATTTTACATTCCTTCCAGTTCAGGCAGCCAGGAGACAAATGCTACGGTGGTAAGGTTTTATCGCACATTATCAGAAGTATTTCAAAGGCAATCATGTTGTAAATGTTAGCTCCTGAATGCTCTTCACCTTTTAATCTTATTATCCAGTAAGGAACACTTCCTTGCAAAACTTTGGAGATTCAAATATCAATAAAGGGAGGAAATGCAATTCCTCAACACCCAAGGCCAAACTGTGAGAAATGTCACTTTAACCTTGCTCCGATCGTCTCACAGCGACCACATTCTCTTTGCTGGCTTAACCTCCTCCCACACGACTCCTCTCTAGTCAATTCAAAATGCCTTTGCTAAACGCATCTTTCTCTCCAGACGCTATCGCTGCAACATCACCTCCTCCTGTCTGCACGGCAGTTCTCCGTCACTGTCTGTAGCAATTTCTAATTCACAGTCTTCACCTTGAAAGGTTTCCACACCTGTTATGTACTGACTCTCCCCTACCAGCGCGCCTTACGGCTGAAGTCTTTGGAGGACCTCTTCCCGGTGGCTTGACATCCACCAATGTTTCAGCTGGAGTCCACCAGAAGAACCTGCAGTGCCCAATGAAAAGGTCTTTGTTCCAAGGAGCCGCCCCTACTGATTAGTCAGGTTTAATGTCACTCTGTTTTAATGCACTATTTTATTCCTTTTTATGATCCACCACCCCAGAATCTGTCAAGATATGGAGCACTAAATGCGGTAAACCAATAAGGACCTGATACGCTACTCTCCCATCTGCGCACCTTCCGAAATGTTGCTTCCAGTGCTTGGAATATTCTATCCATCTACATTTGCACAGGTGTTTCCCTCTCTGTTCAAGTCCTCGTATGCTGGGTAATTTTGGGAAGCAACAGGCCCCAAAAGGAAGCACTTGCCCTCCAGGTACCTTGGAAGGTTTGGATTTTTTTTTTGCAGAGGTTGAATGCATGCTGCCCAAGGCCCTAACCTTGCAATCACAATCACACACACACACACACACACACACCCCACATAGAAAGCAAAAGAAAAGAAGAAGATAAAGAGAAGCTATAAAAGTTTGTGCAGGCAGCAAATATTCCTATCACTTACAATTTTATTCTATATTTCTAAGAGGTGAAGAGACTTATGACTAACAGCCTTCTTGATGTAAAGAAGGCAACAGAGAAAGAGAGAAAGGGAGTCCAAGTCTTCCACCCGTCCGTCGGTTGGCCAGTGCAGAAGACTCTGGACCGCAGTCCCGTTGAGTAGGCAGGGGGCTGCAAGAATTCCACATGCAGGCCGGGTAGCCAGGCCTGTGTCCAGAGCTTGCCCGCTTTCACTTTCTAAGTCCCGGGTTCTTATGTTCTTTCTCTCTGAACTTGCTTCTATGGGACTGGGACTTAAGCTAATTGCTGGAAAGATGCTCAACGGCTCTTGATGACCTTATTTCTTGCTGTGCGCTAGCTCTGTTTCCTAGGGGTAAAAAAGGTGAGTTCATCTACATGAGATGGCCACTACTGATGAGGTAATTTCCAGGTGCTGGTGCTTCTTTCCATCATTCCCATCACCACGTTCTGTGGTGGCGCATTCCATAGTTTACCTCTAAGCTGTGGGAAAAAGTCCTCCCTTTTATCTGTCCTAAACCTCCCATCCATCACCTTCAAGGGCTGACAGGTCTATTTTCCATTCCATTCCTAATTACGTCATGCCTGATCTTTTCTCTGCAAGAATTCCGTCATTCCTTAGCTCATTCCCATTGGCTACACGGGATCATTAGGCCTCTCCTCTTGAACCCCAGCTAATCCAAACCATTCCATGGCCTAGAACCCTGTCCATGTGGCACAAAAATCAATATTGCCATAAATTATGTACACATGCTAGAATTTCCCTTAGGATCAGGGTCTCTAAGATGGGCTATAAGTTATCATCACCAAAAGGGAGGTGGAGAATTTCCCATGTGACAACTGTTTGGTATGGAAGGGAGCCTCCATCTTTGGCATTGGCAGGTTGCCCATTCATGAAATGGCGGCCATGCTCAGGGTGGCTGGCTGCAAAGTACTCATTTTCCAGAGAGTAAACAAGCAAGACTAAAAGGGAAGTAACTTCCCCAAGAGCCTAGACATAAGGCACAGTGCAGTCTGATCCCCAAAGCAGAATACTACTCTAAACCCAAATAAGCTTCATGCTGGAGGGCTGTGCTTTACTTTACAGAATGCCAGCATCCCCATTAAAAAGTAATACCGAAAAAAAGACTTAAAAATAAAATTAACATCAGAAGTAGTAGGGAGTCTGGTGAGTTCTAGGAAAGGTGGCTACATGCACCCAGATGCATAAACCGTGGACTCTGGAAAAAGTATTTGTGCTTGTCGGTGCTCAAGGTTGCTGGAAAAAGTCCTGAGCTCACAGTTGTCTTGCAGAACTTCCCCCAATAAATGTTTATGAGAGCGACTAAAGTTCCCTTTGCCTGCGCAAGTGTGAAGTGGTTGAGGCTTACTTGGGATTTAGTTTGTTTCGCTCCAGTTATCCGAGTAAATATTTTGGGCACAGGAGTCCTGGTTGCTTGGGATGAGGACATTCTCTTAAAAATTAAGAATTAAATACATCAAATGTTCGATTTAAAGTGGCCAACTGCAAGGATAAAGAGTCTTGTGTTGGGTGAGACATGGACCTCTCGCAAAAAAACCCGCAACCCCCACACAATTGTTTTGTCTTAAGTTTCGCACTATGGAACATGTGCAATTGAGCCATTGGATGTCGCCTGCACAAGTTAATTACCTGTACAATGATTCTCTGCAGGACGGGAGTTACTACGCTCTCCACTTAATAATTCAACTTTGTTTACTCCTTCTCCTGAATTGCAACTAATACATTATCAATGACGGTTTATAAAAGACAGTTCATTTGTTCTTTCTCCCCATTTCTTCTTGCAATAAGATGGAGCACCGTGTCCACTTCCTCAGACACTGCTTCACATCATCCCCTCGGTGGCTTTTCTTAGAGATCAACCACTGGCTCAAGAGGTTTCCCTTTATGGGCTTCTCATTCTTAGGTTTTTACAACTGTATTGCCCCCATCCCCGCCATATGGAAGGCTGGCGTGCTCCAGCAACATTCTATTTGGGTTCACAAGTGTGGCTTGATGCTTCGAAGCAAAAACTCCTGCCCTTTCTTCGCACTGATGATCTCTGGCCAGGTAATTTTTCCTTTAGTCTCATCAGCTGCTTTCTGGGAAATGACTGATCTGTGATGATCAATGACCACCTTAAATGCCATTTTAAGATTTTTTTTGTGGGGTGAGAAGCCTGTGGTAGCACTTTTGTGAGAAGAACAACGTTCTCCAAGAATTCTAAGTAGGCCCACTAAACCCAGCGCTTAGTCTGCGATATCCAGCAAAACAGGACATGCATAGAGCCAACATGCCAGAACCGCGCGTCTGTGTGCCTAGATGGAAGAGCTGGTCATGTTCTTACAAAAATGGATCGCCCCACCTGCAACATGCAACATTAGCAGGCGTCAGAAGACCTAGGTGCAGTAGAACTGGAATCCAGAGTGGAACCGGATTCTTGCTCCTTGGGTAAGAAACTTCACTGATCTTCAAGGAAAGCAATGGATCCTGCCCTTTACTCCCTTGGAGGCCCATGGATGGATCATAGAAGAGTAGAGTTGGAAGGTGCCATGAAGACCATCGTGTCCAGCCCCCTGCAGTTTCAGGACACCAAGCGACACCATCCCACTGAGATGGCTGCCCAGTTTCTTTCTGAATGTCTCTAGTAAAATCATCTTTGGCGTTCAAAAGTAAATTGTGCATCAAATGCATCCTTTCCCCCACCAGTTAGCCCGGTGTGGGGTAGGAGAACAGGGCAGTAGAAATCCTCCTGCAGAAATCGCCCTGAGTGTATTAACAGTTCATAATAGACTAAAGTGATCAAGCTGGTATACTGGGAAGGGGGTGCATGCTAAACAATGAATCCAAGGCTGGTCGTAGGAATGCCCTGAAAAGAAAGGGCTGAACCTCCCACTTCAAAGTAGACAAGAAATCACCTTGTCGGCCCAGCTATTCAATTAAAAGGAGGCAATGTCCTTACCTGCGGAGATGAAGGAAAGCCGTGTAGCACTGCTTGCGGAACTCCTGGTACTGCTCGCTTTGCGTTCCTCCCATGCCTTCCACCATCTCTTTGTTCAGCTTCATCGGTGGGGGAAGGGGCTTTGGATCACGGCCCAAAATGTAGCCAAAATCGATGTGGAAGAGCTTGCCTGGGTAGGGCAGAGGGGAGAATGTGGGAGAGCACCACCTGTGAGACTTTCAGCTAGTGGAGCCGGCATCGTCATCATCACAACCGTGGCTCAGGAATTCGCCCTTTTCCCAGCCAACATGCAAGCAGTGGCTTCAATCCCAAGGAGGGAGAACAAAAATGCACTACAAGATGAGCATCAATACAGTCTAGGCACGGGGGGACTCCCAGAATCCAGAATTCTCAACACGTGGGCAATATTCATTAGGGCCCCCTGAAAGATGCAAGCTTGATTCCTGCTATTTTGGGAATCACAGAATTACAAAGCTGTAGGAAGGCCATCCAGTTCAACCTCCACAGAGCAGGACAACTGGAGCGAGGAAATTGCAACCAGATGGGCATCTGACTTCTCATCCCTGATCAGAAATGAAGAGCAAGAGTGGCCTAGAAGAGCAAGAGTGGCCTCACTGATTGGGGAGCAGCCCTGGCAGAGTGTGGTTATGGCATGTGTGAAGTCCACACTCCATCTCTGGTTTCTCCTCTTGAAAGATCTCTCAGGCAGAAAGATTTTAACTTTGTATGGCCTGGCCTTCCACTGGTCCTTTCCTATTTTTATATTGTAATTTTGAGTTGACATGTTTATTTCATGGAACAGTCCTATGCCCTTCCAACATGATCTAAGGGGCCACAGGACTGGTGAGTCTCGGCTGCAATCTTGGGAAAAGAAACACTTGGAGGGCAGGGTTGGGACTTTGCCCACAGAGGCGCCCTCTTCCTCGCTGCAGCTAGTGAATTTCTTGACACACCAGACGGACTCTGAAGAGAGAAGGATGCTTTTGAAGTTGCCCGACTTCTTTTATCTTTCATCTTTTTATTTATTTTATATTGTTAATTTTAATTTTATATTGTTATTTTTGTATTTTATTGTGTTTGTAAGCCGCCCCGAGGCTTCAGCAAGGGGCGGCATAGAAATGTTCTAATAATAATAATAATAATAATAATAATAATAATAATAATTATTATTATTATTATTATTTCTGGAAGGCCCAAGGCAAAACTTTAGGCGGCTGGGCTTGGATGCCAAATCTGAAGAACAAGAAGGGCACCAAGGCAGCGTTTGGGTCTGGATTCCTCTTACCCTCCACTGGATATCCGCAATTCCGAGTTCGGAAGATTACGGGTAGCCACACTGAATGGCGCGTCTATGGCTTTCATTACTATGGATCACTCAGAGAGCTTCAGCTAATGGACAGTACAGAAATCCAATCAAATAAAAATACATTTAAAAAATGCATTGCTCATTTTACTCATTAATATAGGCAGGTGGGCCGAATCCCCACGATTCCTCCCATTGATCTGAGATAAACACAAGTAAGTCACACAGATTTCAAACTGCCCCGGGTTATCCCATATCCAAGAACTCTAAAGTATATCACCCACATAAAAAAGACACAAGTGAAAAACATTTCAAACCAGCAGGCTTTGATCTATGTTCCAAAGTTACACCAGTTATTTAATTAAGAACATTTAGAGGGATTCTTCTCTACTCATTTATTTCAAGTCTGTCATAATGATGAGTCTAGAGATATATGTATTAACCCAAAAGACAACAGGATAAGTCTTGTGGCTGTAATTACATTTCTCATCCAGTTCTGTACACAGGGAATAAGAGGTGTTAATTAATCTTAGCCTTATTTGCATATGTAGCTAGCATGGTACATTTCCCTCCCTCCCCTTCTCTAATGCATTTCAAAAGCCAGATCGACAAAAAAGATGGGCGCAGCGGTGGAAAAATTGATGAGAAGTCTCAATTTTTAATATACCCCTTGTTTGAGGAACTTGAAAAATCAATATTTATAGTAAAAGCAACATGAAAAATATCCCCAAATTCATACACCTCACTGTAACATTTTCCAGCTTCCATGCCTCCAGCAATAAGAATGGAATGGGAACATCTTCTGGCCCATTCCTCATAAATAAATGCCAATTTGTGCCCTATGTCAAACCCTGCAACAGCGGATACCCACACTCTGAAGACTTCTGCATATTTTTCCTATTTTGCAAGAACAGCCTGGGCTTCGGTGCATCTCAGGTAGCCATGCTGCAGACAAGGTATGGTCCCCTATTCTGAAAGACCTCCACAGAGGTCAGGCTCTGATGGGCCTATCCTGGGTGGGAATAAGTTGCATGCAGTTCTGTGGAGAACAACCCTGCAAGCTATTATGCTGAAATATATCAGTGTGCAGAAGCAGCCTCTAGGAATTCCCCAGTCTCTTTGTGCACAGAGAAATGGAGCAGCGGGATGACATTCTTCACAGTTTCTTGGTCACAGCAGAGACAGCCTCTTTTCTCTTAAAGGTTTTTCTTTCAGAGTCACCACTGCTGAAGATGCTCTAGGTTCTTGCAACCCTTCCTGTTATGCATCTGTCTACCGACCAGCAGCTTCCCAGGCCGCTCACACTTCCTGATCTGGAAAACCCCCAGAGGAAGAGGTATAGGGCACTCAGATAAACTCTCCTTAGCCAAGTCATGCACACGGTTAGCACAAGAGGCCTGAATCCCAGCCGTGAGAATGTCTACACAATTTTCTTCCTCTCTGAGCCAGTTTCCAAAAGCAATTTCTTTTTCTCACAAAAAAAGCTTTAGTGATTTCATACAGCAAACAGTAAAAATACAGAATGATGCAAAGTAGGGAAATAGGAAAGTGGTCTCCATTTGCAAGCCTGATGGTTTGTTTTATCATCATCATCACCCGCATCACCACCAAAGAATACAATAAGCCAGGCTGAAGGTGACGTGGCCAGAGGGCAGCACAAGATGAGGGCTGCAGATGAGGAGCAGGCTGAGCAACTAAAAACCTTTTGCCCGAGTAAATAAATGTGTTTATACTGGGTTGGATCAAGGTTAAAGGCACATTCTTATTCATGAAAAAAGTCCTACAACTCCTTGCATTCTCTAGGAAGCACTGCTCTCTCTCTCCTTCTCTCTCTCTCTCCCCATGCATGCAATTACACCTTGAGCTATTTTGTCGTTGGGTCTGCATGCACAGGATGAGTCCACCACAGAGTTTTTTCCTCAAGTTTAAGTGCTCAGATTTGAGGAGGCTAGGAAACATGCACAAGGTCACACCTTGGGCTAATTGTAGGTAGCTCCCATTGATTTCCAGGGGAAGTGTGTATTCCTGTTTATGTCTAAGACTCTCAGATTGCCCACGCCAGCCAAACTCCAACACATCTGGAGTATGTTGGGGAAAGAGGACAGAGATAATGAACTCATAATATAATCCAGATGCAGGTTTGCCACCCGAAGCTTTCTTCTTCCAGAACAGACAGGTCTTGTGAGCTAGGAGCTACTTTCCCTATGGAGGTCTGTAGTGACCACCTTCTTTCCTACCCCCGGCAAAGCAAGGCTTTCTTTCCCTTGCATCCTGCTAGAAGGTGCTTCCTTCTTTCAGGTGCAGCTTATGAATTTTCTGAATTTGAAGTCAACCAAAAAACTGTGCTGCAAGACATCACCATATGGAGGAGCAGGGTCTACCTCCAAGACACGGAAAGAGAAGGCCCTGTCCTTTGCTGGTCCTGAGTTGGGAGTCTACCCACAGTCATGCCAGGTTCCGAGGACAACTGAGTATCAAGGAGACCAGGCCAAAGGGGAGTGTCCCTGAGTGTCTCCAACCTCCTGCAAGGTCAGGGAGGACCCTCATCCGTGGCTGAAGGGACAGCCGCGTCTTCCGCCATTTTTAAGCCAGAGAGTACCAGCATGACTCTTGTGATTACAGTTTGTCCTGTTAGGAGGCAGATGAGAAATCTGGCCTGTTAAACCCAGGACAAGTGGAAACTAAAGACCTCCTGGTTTGTGGGGCAACAGATAGGAAATTCTCAACACACTGTCTAGCAGACAATGAAAGGGCTTCCTTCCACCACTAAATTAGCCCGCTGGATTCCTTGATCTGTGGTTAAGTCGGATACAGAAGTGAGCTTGTCTGTGTTGGCCATCCGAGTGTGTGCGTCAGTAGATAACTGGCCCACATCTCAAGAACCATCTTGCTCTGCCTCAGCACGGGCCGCCCTTTGGTGGGTGGCACTTGAGTGTGATGGTGAAGATGACAATAGTGATGCTAATGAACCCAAAGCAGGTCTGCAAACCTGTCCACACCAGCAGTGGAGGGTTTGGCATTAGCATCTGGCTCCCTCGTTTCAGCACATTCAACCGATAAGCAGATAAATATCCAAATATTGGCCCAAATATCCATTTTTGGCCCAAATATCCATGCTGGGCTAAGAAAATATCCTCACAGCATCACAGGCTTAACAGTCAATGCCCCTTGTTTTGAGCGTGGGACATGACCTTCCCATGATGAATGCTTTCCGGGGCTCTTTTATTCTTAACCATCTTCCCCTGATGTAAATTTGTAGAGAAAAGGGTTACAAAAGGGCTACCCAAGATGCCTCCTAGCGATTTGTCCCTGTCAATTTAATCAACTGTTTCCTCCCAAAGGGGGCTGTTCTTCAGTGCATTCCCTATTTTAAATTTGTCAGATTCAACAGACATGACAATGCATGAAAAATAGCCTAAAATAAAGTAAGAGATATATATATTAGAGAGAGAGAGAGAAGCCAACAGTACATTGTGAAGTTTCTTTCTCCTCACTTTCTTATTTCCTTTCTTTCTAAATGAAATTACATGTATTGTAACTTTTATGTTGGAGTTCTTATCATCTTGCTTCAGTGAATTCAATCCAAAGAATCATGCCAACGTTTGTAAGATTGACTTTGACTGATAAGAAAAGTAACAGATTTATAATGAAATTGATTACTGGCATATTACACTTGCTATTTCCTTAAGGCTATAGCTAGATTTCTTTCTTTCTTTTTTGGAGCGGAGGCAGGGTGCATCAGACTTTTTTTATTGAAGACATTCAAATAAAGGGTTTTTTAATATTCTTATTCATTAACGTGCAAAGCTTTTGATGTTTACAGGGGAAAAAACTCCACTACATCTACCATTCCCCGGCCCATCTGG